GAAGATCTGAATGGTCCTATATCTGCTCAATAAATTAAATCAATAATTTCAAACCTTTCCACAAAGAAAACTCTGGGCCTAGATGGCTTTACCAACCAACTCTTTTTTTATGGCTGAATAGTATTCTGTTGCGTCTATATACCACATTTTCTTTACCTGCTCGTCTACTGATGGACACTTAGGTTGATTCCATATCTTGGCTATTGTAAATAGTGCTGCAATAAATATGGGGGTATAGGCATCCCTTTGGTATACTGATTTCCTTTCCTCTGGATAAATACTTCTTGGTAGGATTACTGTACTGTACGGCAGTTCTATTTTTAATTTTTTGAGAAACCTCCATACAGTTTTCCATAATACCTTTACTAATTTACACTACCACCAATAGCACGCACATACATTTTTAAAGCATAAAACAGTATTGTACATTATCCCTTGGCACATATGTATTCTACTGTATTTAAAAATGGCTGAAGGATGCACCGAAGTCACAATAGCAGCAGCCTCTGGAAGAGTAAATGAAAGGACAGAGTTTGAGGACAGGGACAAAGGAGACTTCAACTTCGTTTTTATTGTCCAGCTTTTTTTATTTTTTTAAAAACGCAAACATGGCAAAATGTTAACATCTGTTTGTTTTGGATGATGGCTCATAGGGTGTTATTCATATTATTCTTTGTAATTTTCCCTCTGTTTAATTTCTCAAAATGAAAACAATAAAGTCGAGATAATAGTATCTTTCATAGTTTAGTCTTAGGAGTATTTATTGTTTAGGTATTTTATGTTCCTGTTTGTTTTAAGAAAAAATGTGTATAAATATAAGTATAGATGAGATAATTAAATTTCCTGTTTTTGTTTATGTTCACAAAATGTGCTTGTTTTATTTAGCATTCTTTGATATCAAAACGTGGCCTTCATACAAACTTGTGAGGAGTAAACCATGAGGGTTCACAGTTTTACCACAGCCTGTATGTTAGCAACCACTTCCTGTGATAGACATCCTCATGCACCTCAAGTACCAGAAGCATCCGTTTGTATTGGAGCCAAAATACCCACAAGCAGAGAAACAAGAAGTCAAAACAATTTTCCTTGTTGGTGTTAAAGATTTGTTGCTGTGTGATTGTTGAGACTGAAGCTCTGAAAGCACCAGTGTTTGCTGGATCTGTCTCTAACTTGTCTCTACAAGGTCATTTCCAAAAGACTGCCAAAATAATGTCATGTCCCGCCTTTTCCACCACCGACACACCCTGCATGAAAACCCCAAGGAGCACAGAAGTCCTGCTTGGGTGGGGATGAGGGCTCTCTCAAAGCCTGTTATCAAAGAAAGGCAGACAGATGGACAGATGGATTAGCCACTCCAATGGAGACTATACTTTTACAGTCATATCACATATTACAACAATTAATTACTAGGCTGGTGGTTCAGCAACCTTCTGAAGTGATCCCAAGATGATTGCCATGACCGTATTTGAAAAGCTAACAGATAAATGTGGGCTTAAAACAGACTACATGTTACTCAGCTAAGCCCTAACCATATGCATAGGTCAAAGTGACATGAGGGCCCTCGTGGACCCACCAGGATCTTCCATAAGAGTAGAACTCTCGCCTTGTTCACTTCTTTCATAAGCAGGCAAAGGAGGAGTTATTCAAAAGAAGGAACTGAGCTCAACCCAGACTCTTTTGTCTGTCCAGTTTCTAGCCAGCCTGTCACCTGGATCTATGTAAGCACTCTGGCCTGCTCTCAGCTATGTGCTAGCTCAAGGAGCCCAATGGGTGTCCAGCAAGAACAATGATGAGGGCTAAATCTTTCTAAGTTAAGGGTCAATTACAAACAAGATCTCTCTGCCACAGATCTGAAGCCATCTTAAGAGGGGGTAGAGATTAGTAATTACTCCCCACAAAAGCAGAAAACCAACCTGATGATGAATTAAGACCTCAAAAATGATAAATTAATATAATCCATGATACCAGCCAATAATTTGTATACCACATTTATTCTTATCCCCATAGTTATCCTGTCTGAATAGTTAACTGAGCACTGCTCACTTTTAGATTTCATAAGAGTTGTTAAAAATAAATCTTTGGGAACAATCCAAGGTGGCCGATCGCTAACATCTTGGGATTGCAGATCTCCGTGAAACCCCAGAGAACAAGAGGACGCCACACTTTCAGACAAATTTTCGTTGCTCATGGAGCAGAAGATTACCAGTGGAGGAGCTCCACGGGTCACCAGCGCGACTCTTGTGGCCAGCACAGGGGTTTTGCCAGCACCTCGGCGCGGCAGCTCTCAGTGCAGAGTAAACGGGACTGGTTCCCCTTCTGACCAAGGTTTGGAGGAGCCACACGGGTCACCAGCGCGACGCTTGTGGCTGGCGCAGCGGTTGTGCCAGCACCTCGGCACGGCAGCTCTAGGTGCAGAGTAAATGGGACTGGTTCCCCTTCTGACCAAGGTTTGGAGCTCTGGGAAGGCAGAGTCGCCTATTACGGATTCAAGAAGGAAGCCAGACTGGAGATTCCCAGGCAGAAAAGCACCATCAGTCTTAACGCCGCTGTTTTGGCCAGCACAGTGGGTTGCTCATATTTCGGCCCTGGGAATTAACAACTTGGACGTCCACTCAGAGACCTAATTTGAAAGCTGGTAATTACAAAGATGACAGGTGGATAAATTTACAATGATGGGAAGAAACCAGTGTAAAAAGGCTGAGAATACTCAAAATCACAATGCCTCTCCCTCTGAAGAGGATCATAGTTCCTCATCAACAAGGGAACAAGACTTGATGGAGAACGAGCGCATCCCAATAACAGAATCAGGCTTCAGAACATGGATAATAAGAAACTTCTGTGAGTTAAAAGAACATGTTGTAGCCCAATGTAAAGAACTTTTAAAAAAGGTTTGACGAAATCCTAATGAGAATAGACAACTTAGAGAGGAATATAAGTGAATTAATGGAACTGAAGAATACAATGCAGGAATTCCGAGAAGTATGCACAGGTTTAAACACTCGAATTGTTCAAGCAGAAGAAAGGATATCAGAGGTCGAAGTCCAACTTAATGAAATAAAACGAGAAGACAAGATTAGAGAAAAAAGGATAAAAAGGAATGAGCAAAGTCTCCAAGAAATGTGGGACTATGTGAAAAGACCAAATTTACGTTTGATAGGTGTACCTGAATGCGACAGAGAGAATGAATCCAAGCTGGAAAATATTCTTCAGGATATTATTCGGAAAAATTTTCCTAAACTAGCAAAGCAGGACAATATTCAACCCCAGGTAATACAGAGAGCACCACAGAGATATTCCTCAAGAAGAGCAACCCCAAGGCACATAATCGTTAGATTCACCAGGGTTGAAACGAAGAAGAAAATACTAAGGGCAGCCAGAGAGAAAGGTCAGGTTAATTACAAAGGGAAGCCTATCAGACTTACAGCAGATCTCTCAGCAGAAACTCTACAAGCCAGAAGAGAGTGGGGGCCAATATTCAACATCCTTAAAGAACAGAACTTTCAGCCCAGAATTTCATATCCAGCCAAACTAAGCTTCACAACTGAAGGAAAAATAAAATCTTTTATGAACAAGCAAGTACTCAGAGATTTTATTACCGCCAGGCCTGCTTTACAAGAGCTTCTGAAAGAAGCATTACACACAGAAAGAAACAACCAGTATTAGCCTTTCTAAAAATATACCAAAAAGTAAAGAGCATCAACATAAAGAAGAATTTACATCAATGAATGGATAAAACAGCCAGTTAACATCAAATGGCAGTAATCTTAAATTTAAATCGACTAAATCCCCTAATCAAAAGATACAGCCAAAACCCAATGGCATGTTACATCCAGACCCATATCACATGCAAGGATACACAAAGACTCAAAACAAAGGGATGGAGAAAGATTTACCAACCAAATGGAGAGCAAAAATAAATAAATAAATAAAAAGCAGGAGTTGCAATTCTCATATCTGATAAAATAGATTTCAAAGCAACGAAGATATAGTGGTAAAAGGATCAATGCAACAGCAAGAGCTAATGATCCTAAAACCCAGATACATAGAGACTTAGACTCAATGAGACAGAAAATTAATAAGGATATCCAGGACTCGAACTCAGATCTGGAACAAGTAAACTCAATAAATATTTATAGAGCTCTCCACTTCAAATACACAAAATATACATTCTTGTTAATACCACATCACACCTACTCGTAGGTTTAAATGAAACATTGATTGGCCATTATTAATACCCATTTTTTTAAGAATAAAACAACATTTCTGTTCTCTCTCCCTCTTTTTCTTCCTCTTTCTTCCTCTCCTTCACTCCTTTTTTTTTCTTTCCTTCTCTCAAAAAAAGAAAAAAAAGAAATCAACTTGTAGACCTCTAGATCCAGTTCGGCAATGTCTCTCTCATTGCTTGATTTCCTTCCTTCCCTTCTCTCCCTCCCTCCCTCCCTCCTTCCCTCCCTTCCTCCCTTCCTCCCTCCCTTCCTCTCTCCCTTCCTCCTATCCTCCCTTCCTAATAAATAAATAAATAAATAAATCTTTGTACTCTGTCGTGGCATGCATGAACTCTCATAGCTTGAGATGACTGCATTAAAATGTACATTTTATAATTTCTTTTACTATTTACATAGGTATAAGTATACATAGAAAATGTATTTAAATGTTTAACAGGCAAAAACAAAGACCAAAAAAACAAGTCACCCTGCTGTAACAGAACACTGTTCTGCATATGGCCAGCTGTACACTGGCAGAACATAGTGATTTTAAGGATGAATTAGTGTTGTAATCTCTTTGGGATTTCCTTTATATTTGCGGTGGTTTATGACTGACATTTCATGTAACTATAGCTTTCTGTTTGGATTTAATAAAAGATTCATTTCTGTGGCAAGATACACGTTTGCACTCCAGTGTTGAATAAAAGCTACTGTTCTGCAAGGGTGTAAAATGCTGATTTATAATGACACGTTCCAAAAACAGCGATCTAATTCTTCCAAACTGTTTCTTCCCAGGTCCCAGGAACAGCACAGCTCCAGCAAAGGATGACTCTTCTCTTCCAGAACATTCAGCCTTTAACACATCTGTCCATGCTGCAATTAGACACAGAAATTGGAAACTCCTCACGGGCTACCCAGGTAGAGTGCTTAGCTTAGCAAACTTCCCTTCTCACAGTAGACAAAGCAGGGCTGTGTCCTCAGGGCAGTGTCTCCAGTCTACCTTCACTCCTGGGATTTTATTCCCATGGCCATTTCTCTGGAAAGGGAGGACATACTCACTCTTGATCTAACTATTTCCCATCTCTTCCTCCTTGGCTCCTCAAGGCTACTAAGCCCTACCACTCACCTCACTTTGCTCAGATACCTGAAACCTTAACTTGTCTTTCTAATCTTTCATGATCCCTCCTAATATATGTCCTAAAAAGCCAACTATTTATTCAGGGTATTCTTTTCCCATTTCTGAGACTCTGCCTGTTCCCAGTTATACAGCTTCCATTCTTGTCATGGCCCAAGTAAGCTTTACTAGTGGATCATCAAGAAGTTTACCAAGTAATAACTGCCTTTTGCAAAACATATCTCTGAGCCTGCTGGATGAGGAGATAATAAGAGGAATGGTTTAACCTACTGGTCTTAACCAAAAAAGAGAGAGAGAGAAAGAGAGAATTAACTGTAGCAGGGGTGAAAGGAAGAAATGTCTCTCTGATGCTTCATGGAAAATACGGATTTTAAATATGTTGGCTATCAAGTACAGCACATTCGGGTAGCAAAGAGAATCTCTGAGAGCTACACCCTCAACCAGTGGTGTCGCTGGGGAAGGAGGTTGCTCCCCTGATTAAATTCTCTAAGACTAGCATCTTTTCAATACTTTTAAAATATGTGGGATGACGGTTAAGGCTGTGATGTAATTAACCAGTGTTTACAATGAGAACATTCTTGGCATTGCAGTAAGACAAGTCTTTTTTGTCTGGGACTGTCCCATGTATTGCAAGGCATTAACATCACTGGCTCATGCCCACTAAATGCCAGGAGGACCCCTATGCCCCAGTCCTGTGACAAGGACATACACACATGCACACTCATTTCTGGGTGTCTGTGCTTGTGAAGCAGTGAGACATGTCTAGTTAAAGCACCAGAAGTCGATGTCTGAGAAACATCTAGAGACAGCATCTAGGGCTGCATCTTTTTATGTGTCCTCACCCACAACCCAGTGCAGGCTTGGCCTCAGACTCCTTCCCTGAAATTAGAACCTACCTCTGTGCGTCTCCCTCAATAAACTGTTTTGTTTTCTTTGCTAGGCTGTGGTTACTGGTTCCCTCCACCGTCTCAATACAATGTCTCTGAGATACCCTCATTGGACCCACCAACAAAGACCCTCTGGCTCTTTGATATTGATCGGGATCCAGAAGAAAGACATGACCTGTCCAGAGAGTATCCTCACATCGTCACAAAGCTTCTGTCCCGCCTACAGTTCTACCATAAACATTCAGTGCCGGTGTACTTCCCTGCACAAGACCCCCGCTGTGATCCCAAGGCCACTGGGGTGTGGGGCCCTTGGATGTAGGATTTCAGGGAGGCTAGAAAACCTTTCGATTGCAAGTTGGACCTCAGGCCTTTTCTCATGACTCTTGTCTCATTTGTTATCCCAACCTGGGTTCACTTGGCCCTTCTCTTGCTATTAAACCACACCAAAGTGTCTAATTTCAACCCCTAATGCATTTAAGAAGCTGATAAAATCTGTAACACTCCTGCTGTTGGCTGGAGCATTTGTCTAGAGGTGGGGGTGGCTGGGTTTACCCCCTTTCCTAAGCTGTGGGACAGCTGGGAACTTAACTTGAAATAGGAAATTCTCACTGAGCCCTGGAGGCTGGAACAGCTGGCTCTTTTAGCCTCACAAGTCAGACCTTAGATTCGCCTCTGCCAATAGCCAGTTTTATTGGAGTGAATCACATTTCTTACACAAATGAAGGGAGCAGACATTTATTAATGGTCTGTTGGCCAAGACTTCTCCCTGTTGAAGGATCATGTTCAAGCACTCCATGTGAGCCACCCCTCTTGGTTCACCCCTTACTCACTTATCTCATCACAGAGCACAAAGCTCATTTTGTTGTTCAGGTCAACAGCAAAAATGCCTGCACCTTGATTTTGGCTTTTACAGTAAAGAAATGTGATTTTACCCTAATTTATTCTTCCCCAGCCATTGCTCATTCTGTCTAGACTTCCTGCCACTTCCAATTCTTCTGTGGCTTTTCCTATCTTTCCGTTTGCCCTCAGTGTCCTATCCCTGGGAAAGCCACTTTGCTTCTCTACTTGAGCACCCCTGATTTCTGGAACACTGTTGAGCGCTGCCTTGCTTTTACCGCTAGGGCTGAAGCTAGAGGCCTCCCTGTAATAGGCAGTGGAGTTGCTCTGTGAGGATGTTCATGGTGGACACTAAGAGGGCTGGGTGGGAGATGCTTGACTCTGTGGCATCGGTTCAGCGAGGCTTTTCCTATGATGCATGGAGTTAATCATCGTGATTGTGGCTTTATCTCATAACACTTGCACTGCTATTTACTAGCAGTGAGAAGAAACCTCCCGAAAGAATTTGAAAAAGCAAGTGGCCAGTGTCAGGGATACTGGGCCTTGGTAAAGCAGAGGAGGGCACATCCACAGTCCTCATATTCTCTGTTTTACTGCTTGTATTGAGGTTCTCAAGTCTGGGAAAGAGGGTGCACAGTTTGACCTGCCACCCTTTTTGAATCCTACTAATGTCTTACTAATGTGGATCAGTCCATATTAGCTCTAGAGAGTGTCAAACCCAGAGAAATGTGTGCAAAAATGATACTCTTTTCTGCATTAGCCTCACTGTTTTGTTCACCAATGCTTGGAACACTGCCTGAAGGCACTCAATACATTTTTTTTTAATTTTTATTTTATTTTTAATTTTTTATATTTTTTTGAGACAGCTTCTCACTGTGTCACCCAGGCTGGAGTACAGTGGTACAATCACAAGTCACTGTAGCCTCAACCTCCTGGGCTCAAGTGATTCTCCCACCTCAGGCATCCAAATAGCTGGAACTACAGGTATATATCGCCACACCCAGCTAATTTTATGTTTTGAAAAGACAAGATTCCCTGTGTTGCCAGGCTGGTCTTAAACTCCTCAGCTCCAGCAGGTCTCCAATCTTGGCCTCCCAAAGTACTGGGATTACAGGCATGAGCCACCATGCCTGGCCTCATTTTTTTTTTTTTTTTTTTTTTTATGAGACAGGGTCTTGCTCTGTCACCAGGCTGGAATGCAGTGGTAATCTTGGCTCACTGCAACCTCCGCCTCCTGGGTTCAAGCGATTCTCCTGTCTCAGCCTTCCGAGTAGCTGGGATTACAGGCCCGTGCCACCACACCCAGCTAATTTTTATATTTTTAGTAAAGACAGGGTTTCACCGTGTTGACCAGGATGGGCTTGATCTCTTGACCTCATGATCCACCTGCCTCAGCCTCCCAAAGTGCTGGATTACAGGCAGGCGCCACTGCACCTGGCCTCATTTTTTTAAAGTAGATGAATAAATGGACAAATGAGTAAATGAGAAAGTCTCATACCATGAAAGATGCTAGTCCAATGAGCTAAATACAGAGGTAATATAAATTCTTCCAACTGTTGCTTTTCTGTTCGCAAGATGCCCCTCCTGGAGTAGGAGCATAATCTACGTCACTGGCCAGTCACAGGATTCTGTTGCAAGGTTGTAGTGTCCTCTCCAGAGCGGGGAGAAAAGGAACTGTGCCTACCAAAAGTATTCTCTTGTCAACAATTTCCATTTCTATTCTTTATAGGACACTAGAAACTAAAAGCGACACATAATCTGATGTAGGTCTTTGTATAGCCATCCTTCAATTCAGTAGCAATATTTTCTGGTCACTACTAATCTGTATTGTATTAAAAGGAGACTATTGGAAGGAAATGGTGCTAGAACTAATATCTTTTACCAACCTTTACTCAACTCCTGGGTTGGCAAACAGCAGGCCAAAATGCCATCACCTCCCACTTGGAAGCCCATGGCCAACAGCATGAAATAACTGAGCCCAGATGTTTCTTCCACATCCTCCAAATCCCGCGGTTGTTTGTAGGTAGCCATTGGAGGCCATCGCTACAGGGCATCTACCTATTATTGCTGCTGTCCCCCCCAACAGCTGTCTCCCGTTCTAGTTCCTTGGTTGCCAGCCAAAATGGGGGATGTTCTGCACTCAGTGGACTTCAAAAGAGTTTTGAAGCCTAATTTTTTTGTAAAACAAGTACTTGAGATTTTGGTTTATCCATAATAGAATGTAGCTCATTAGATTCTCTGATTCTATACAAGAATGTGAAAAGATTCATATGTTGTCGTTAGAAATAATGGTATTTCTTTCCAATTTTTTTTTTTTTTTTTTTGAGACAGAATCTCGCCCTGTCACCCAGGCTGGAGTGCAGTGGTGTGATCTCAGCTCACTGCAACCTCTGCCTCCCAGGTTCAAACTATTCTCCTGCCTCAGCTTCTCGAGTAGCTGAATTACAGGCACACACCACCACACCCGGCTGTGTTTTGTATTTTGAGTAGAGACAAGGTTTCACCATGTTGGCTAAGCTGGTCTGGAACTCCTGACCTCAAGTGATCTATCCACTTCAGCTTCTCAAAGTGCTGGGAATTACAGGCATGAGCCATCGTACCCAGCAAATTTTTTACCTTTAAAGAAGGTTTTGCTTATTTAATTGTGAGCTCATTTTTCTTTGTTACTACGTGATTGTTTCAGACTTGGGGGACAAAATAAAATTAATTTTTCAAAATGTGTCAGCCATGGGTATAGGGCTTCCATTTGGGGTGAGGAGAAAGTTCTGGAACTAGATAGTGGTCATGGTTACACAACATAAATATACTTACTGCCACTGAATTGTATAAAGTGGTTAAAATGGTAAGTCTTATGTTCTATTACAATTTTATAAATGTGTCCACCAACTTTATGGTATGTAAATTGTATCTCAGTAAAGCTGTTAAATAAATAAATATAGTAAAAATTTTAGAACTAAAAAAAAGTGTCAATCATTGCCCTAAGAATATAAACTATAAAATAAGGCATTAGCGGGAAGTCATGGAAGGGCAGGAGTGAAAACAAAGTGGCGATAAGAGAGAGTGTTAGTTCTCTATTGCTGTGTAACAAATCACCCCAAAACTTAGCAGCTTCAAAGAGCAAACATTTATTACTTCACATATTCTTTGAGGGGCAGGACACTGGGATTGGTTTAGCCCAGTGGTTGTGGCTTAGGGTCTTTCGTGAGATTGTGGTCAAGCAGGCCTGTGGTCATCCAAAGACTTGAGTGAGGCTTCAGGCTCCACTTCCAAGCTGACTCACTCACAAGGCCTCAGCTGTTTGCCATGTGGGCATCTCCACAGGCTGCTTGGATGTCCTCACACTGGCAGTTAACTTCCCCCAGAGCAAGCAAGCAGGAAACAACAGGGCCTTTCCTGACCTCGTCTCCAGAGGTGTACACTGTCACTTCTACCATTTGTCTGTTAGTTAGAAATGAGTCACCAAGGCCAGCCCATATTCAAGGGGAAGAAAATCTTCCTTTTAGAAGGAAGTGCCAGATTTGTGGACTTACTTTACCCCACGTCAGAGGAAAATGGTCTCATTTAGCCTCCTGGGGAATAGACTGTTCAGTCAAGTCCACATGCATTTATCAAATGCTGCTATTTGAAAAGAGGTGGTAGAAAAAGGATCCAACTTTGCTATTGAGCACTGGAATAACCATGAACAAATCACTTCATCCTCTCTGTGCCTTGGTTTTTTTCCTGGTAAAGTGATGGGTTGAATTAGATAATTGCTAGTCTCATATCTCTAGTGTCCAGAACAATGGATACTAATATAATTAGATATTATATTAGCACATATTCTATAAATGTTGGTTGATTGACTCTCAAATGACTGAACTCCAATGTGAGCATGTGAAATAATACTGTGCTAAAAGAAATAGCCTGAGATTTTCTAAACTCATTTTCTAAATCTCATTTTCTAACAGTATTCTAATAAAAGCTGCTAAATTTTTGAGTGCTTACTATATCCCAGGCACTGTACTACCTTCTTTAAAAAGCATATCTTGTTTTGTATAATATTTTTCTTGTCCTTTTTTTGAGACAGGGGTCTTGCTCTATTGCCCAGGCTGGTCTCAAACCCCTGGGCTCAAGAAATCCTCCCACCTCAGCTTCCCAAAATGCTGGGATTATAGTGTGAGCCACCATACCCAGCCTTTAATATAATTTTTAAATAACCAGAAGTCATGTTTAAATTCATTCAATCTTAATTGTAAAAGGCTTACTTGGTTTTTTCATCTCTTCCATTTTTTCAAAAACTAATCTTTGTTCAAGTGTAAAATATTTTACATCGAGAAAATAGCCCAAATGGGCTTGTAAACATAAACATTTTTTAATAAAACATTTTAAATGCAGAGAAATTCACTATTTGAAGAAACCTTTTTGTAAATCTTTTTGTAAGTGCAAATTTTGGCTTTTGTATTTACAAAACCTAAATACATTGACTTAGGTTTCCTAAATTGAGGTTTTGCTGCCCAGGTTTTCCTGAAGTAGGATTCATACCCATGTATCAGGTTCTAGGGAGGAGGTATAGTGACCAGAGAAATGATACAAACAAAACTAAAGGCATGGCCCCTGCCCCTATGAGGCTTACAACCTCATTCTGTGATATAAAGTTCTTTTCAGCTTAAGTGTTTTTAAGAAAATTGGCCAGGTGCAGTGGCTCATTACCTGTAATCCCAACATTTGGGGAGACAGACCAGAGGATCGCTTAAGCCCAGGAGTTCAAGACCAGCCTGGGCAACATAGTGATACCCCCTACATCTTTACAAAAAATTTAAGAGTTAGCTGGGCATGGTGGTGTATGCCTGTAGTTCCAGCTATTGGGAGGCTAAGGTGTGAGGATTGTCTGGGTTTTGAGGTTGCAGTGAGCCATGATCACACCACTGCATTCCAGCCTGGGTAACAGTGAGACCCTGTCTCAAAAAAACAGAATAAAATGCCAGCTATATTAGTCAGGGTTCTCTAGAGGGACAGGACTAATAGGATAGATGAATATATGAGAGGGAGTTTATTAGAAGAATTGAGTCACGTGATCACAAGGTAAAGTCCCACAATAGGCTGTCTGTAAGCTGAGGAGCAAGGAAGCCAGTCCGAGTCCCAAAACCTCTAAAGCAGGGAAGCCAAGAATCCCTGGCAAATCACTGGTCTAGGTCCAAGAGTTCAAAAGCTGAAGAACTTGGAGTCTGATGTTTGAGGGCAGGAAGCATCCAGCACAGGAGAAAGACAGAGGCCACAAGACTCATCTAGTCTAGTCCTTCCACGTTCCTCTGTCTGCTTTTATCCTAGCTGTGCTGGCAGCTGACTAGACGGTGCCCACCCGGATTGAGGGTGGGTCTCCCTCTCCCAATCCACTGACTCAAACGTTAATCTCCTTTGGCAACACCCCCACAGACAAACCCAGGAACAATATTTGCATCCTTCAACCCGGTCAAGTTGACACAATATTAACCCTCATATTGGCCAATACTAAATATATTGAAATAATTATTATCTTTTGCAGTGACCACTTAAACTTTAAAATCTATTTTTTGTTCAAGCAGAGAATAGTCATACTGTGTATAGATTGGTTCCCACTGAAAAACCAGCCTGTTCACCCTGATCATCCCTGCTACCCCAGGTGGATTCAGATGGTATGGAAGTAACTACCACATCTCTTATACTTTTGCCCTGTTGCCATGGGAGCCACCACCAGGATGGCACAAAGCAGAAGAGGAGACCAGTGACTCCCTGGGCCTGACATCAGCGATTTGTGGCCATCAGAAAACTGGAGAGATGCTTTCATTCTCAAACGAATTCACCGAAGTCACCAGTCACTGATTGCACTTCAGATATTTCATAACATTTATTACTTTTCTGACAATAGAGATAATACATATCATTACAATTTTTAAAAATACAGAAAACATCACAGAAAATGAAACAATCCATAAACCACCACCTGGAGACAGCCATCGTAAACCTTTTACGGCCTGGCAACAATTAAGTGGCCTCTTCCCAGGTTGGTTTTCAAATCCCACTGTGCCCAGCTGAGCCCTCTTAGAGATTCAAGATGGTAGATAAATAAAATGTCAGTCTTTAGGAAATCTTCATTTTAATCTCATTAATGAGGTCCAGATGTTCCCTGGATATTGACCCGAAAGGACTACAGTTTCACACTCACACCACACCCTGTGCTCTCTCTCCCCCACGGGGCTCAGGAGGGGGTCTGGACATCAAGGGACCAGTGTGTGATCAACCAGGCCAGCAAGGAAGGGACTCGACCTCTAGTGCAAACCAGAGCTTCGCAGAGCCAGGCAGAGGAGATAAACACACATGCTCCTCCTTCCTCGGGAAAACAGGTAAACAGGATTTACTAGGCTTTTATTTACATTAAATGAATCAAAGTTTAGATTTGCCAGCCTTTTATAGGTGAGATCATTCAAGTCCACACTGTGACATGCATTGCGTGAAGATAAGGGCACCCATGCCCGGCCAGCCCCCAGCAGGGGTGAGAGGGCATTTGATAAGCCCCTGCTCCCAGGATGCTCACTTGCAGTGGAGCACAAATGTGAGGCTTGGACAGGATGAGGAGGACCCAGGACAGGGGGGATATAGAGAGGCTCTCGAGTCAGAGGAACACTGTGTGAAGCCCAGCACGGAAAACCATATTGTCTTAATTTTTATTTTTGTTTTTGTTTTTTACCCCATGAGAGCTGTGAATTCTTTCTGTATGGTGTATTTCTAAAGCAAAACCTTTATTAGCATGTACTGTGAATCTGTTAGGGAAGCAGCTGGTTTGGTTTGAAAAGTTTACTTGGACCAGGCGCGTGGTTCACACCAGTAGTTCCAGCACTTTGGAAGGCCAAGGTGGGTAGATCATTTGCGCCCAGGAGTTCAAGAACAGCCTGGGCAACATGGCAAAACCCTATCTCTACAAGAAATATATGTATTAAAATTAGCCAGGCGTGACGGTGCGTGCCTGTAGTCCCAGCTACTTGGGAGGCTGAGGTGGGAGGATCACTTGAGCTGGGGAGGTCAAGACTGCAGTGAAGCAAGATTACACCACTGCACTCTGGCAGCCTGGATGACAGAGCAAGACTCCATCTCTAAAAAAAAGAAAAAAGAACAGATTACTTGTTGGGGCTTCGTAATAGGCATCTGGTTTTCCTTAGTTGTTAGGCCAGGGCATGAATGAAAGTGTTTAGCTTTAACTCATATAGGTGATAGAAATGTGGGGCCCTCACATCCAGGACTCCAGGACAAGGAGAAGGGTCCGTGTCAGAGGGACCTGCAGTTCTATCACTGAGGTCCACAGATGCTCCTTCCCCATCCAAAAAGCAGCTGGAGTGCCACAGGCAGCCAGGGCCAGGGGGATGCCTGGCGACCTCAGCAGTTCTGCAGCCCCCCCCACCCCCCGCAATCCCTCCCATCCCCACCTCAGACCCGCGGAGGTTCACACAGGCCCTTTCCCTGGGGGGAGCCTTACCATGGTGCCTTTCCTTAAATTGATACTCTTTACTAATTTTAGTACTTTAAAGTAATGCTTTTTTATTACCATGATGAAGGAAACACCTCTATCATTGATCATCACAAACATACACACAGTGAATATGTTCTCAGACTTGAGCTAGGAACTGTTTCCAGCATGGAAGGAAAGAAGGAGAATGAAGAATGAATCACTTTTCACTGTAATTCAGCGTCAGTCATGTCAGGTGTATGACTTGGCAACGCTGTCCGGGGCAGGAAACTTGTCCGGGGCAGGCACACCAGCTCTGATGTGCCCAGTCCCGGTGCCTGGTGCTGGGTGGTGCTCCAGGGTGACTGGCGACTTCACTTCCTGATGTGCTACTCTCCCCTCTGTCTGCCATTTCCTCCAAGAATCATCACAGCTGCATTTTTTTTCTAACAGTTTGTTTTGCTCGTGTGCCTGGAGACCCCAAAGCGAGGGAAGAATTCTAAATGA